GTTTCGTTTTGGAAAAAAAATTGAGTTTTATTAAAAAGTGCATATTTTCCGAGATTTTTCGATACAATCAAATCCAATAGTTCAGAAATATTTGGACAAAATATGATCACTATATGAGTATTTATATATTGTTATTATGTACCAGTCGAATGGTTTGAAAAGGAGAATCGAATGAGCATATGCAGAAATTTATCCGCACATACACATGCATATCTCAGGGGCGTAAAGGTGCGGCTGACATCCTCACATTTTCAGCTCCATCCTAACTCATTTTATCCTCGAATCTCACGGTCATCCAACTTAAGCAGAAAATTTAGTAGATGTTTGAAGGCGTCTCTCAGTCTGAAAGAAGTCGAATGAAGTCAGATAAGTTGAAATCAAATTATATTTTCTGTAAATACCTATCGTTGTAATCTGTCGGGACATTTTTCGAGTAAAATGCTATTTTCTCGCGAAGGATATGTGCTTAAGAGCTGGAATTTTTCTCGCAGTTTTACCACATAGTCATCTAAAAAGGGTAAAAAAATCATGGTCTTAACTCCTATAGTTACCAAGAAATCAAAGAAACAAAATTCAAAATCTGTCGGGATGTTTAACAGAAAAGTGGCATCCTTCCCGCTTATTTTTGGTTTTTAATTTGATCCAGAAGGTCCTTGAAAAAATCATTTTTAAATAAGAAAATAATGCAGTAATAGAAACAATTTTTTTTTCCTTTTATTTTTCAATTTTCAATTCAAATTTTGAAGGGATAGTAGAATTTTCGATCTTGACTGTTATTAACAAGCTGGTAAGAGCAGTCATCATCAGTAGAAATATTCAATAATCTAATCCATAAAACAGTCTATAAAACCAATCCATAATCTAAAATCTTTGATCTAATCCATTTTATAGATTATTTTATGGATTAGATTATTGAATATTTGTACTGATGATGACCGCTCTTACCAGCTTGTTAATAACAGTCAAGGTCGAAAATTCTATTATCTCTTCAAGATTTAAATTCAAAATTGAAAAAAAAAGGAAAAAAAAATTGTTTCTATTACTGCATTATTTTCTTGTTTAATATACACAAAAAACGTTTCTGACTTTTCTCAAGTTACACTGATATAACTTTTTTCTTACAAGATTTCTCGCTCTTTGGTCTATCGAATATTAAAAGTAAATTCGCGTTTGCCTTTAAATTGGCTTTAGTAGATTGAATTAATCTGTCGAGACATAAATCGCCAAAGTGTATGTTTAGATAGTTTTTGGAGGATTTGATCGGTAGATCCAAAGTGAAGTTATTTTCTATTTATATGGTCAGAAAGAGAATAGTCTTGGCTCCAAAGTGGTTGTCAGAAATTATTTTTATTTAGGATTGATCAGAAAAACGCCAAGAATCTAAATTTGATGAGCTTCAGTAAGGATCGGAACCGGCGAAAAACTAAAAAAATATTTTCAAGTTAAGTATGAAAACAGTTTTTCTGTATGGGCACTATATCTGAATAGTACATTAGACAGAAAGCAGCACGCAAAGAATTTATATTCACACTGTCTCAAGCAAAATTGAATGAAATAAAATGAATTTTTCTGTTGCTGTGTGTCCTTGTGTTTGAAATTCTCTAGTCTGCATATCTTCTGTCATAAGTACAACTATTTGTTTCAATGAGTGAAACATAAATCGACTAGATTCTAAGTATAAACAGAAGATGATGCACCGGAGAAGTAGACGTCACTATGAACGCGGCTAGCCATGAATGGCGCCCCGGATAGGTGCCGGCGAAGGAGTAGTTGCTGGTCTGTACCATTAATCGGAGGTGAGCTTCGCAGAGTGTCGTAGTTCATAGAAAAATAGCCTATCTTTGTGGTTCAATCAATTGGTATCATATGCAAAAGCGACAAAAACTAGCAAGTTTTTCTCTAAATCAGTTTCGAGAAAAAACTTTTCTGCAGAAGTGAAACATCTTGAACATGCATTTGACGAAATGCATGTGTTAGCGCATTTGTATTAACATATCTTCTATGTGGATAAAAAATGTGGATGTTTCGTGATCTAAATTGAAAAGATAATCGCTTTGAAAACCAGTCTAAAAATAACTGAGACGCTCATATAACATTAAAGGCTTGTTTCACAAACGGCAACGATAGAAATCGAACGTCAAATAATATTACTGAACAAATTGTATATAAATGTTGTGAATTAGAGTGCGAAGCGATTTATATGCATTTGTGGAATATCATTAAACGTTGGTTATAAAAGAGAAGAAGCAATTAAATACTACGGTAACACTTAGTTAACTTGGACATTTGTTACTTTACTCAAAGGCATTGTTTAAATAGATCTAGTTTCAAATTTCTCATTGAGAAGTTTTTTTTATAGTAATAGAATAGTCTTTCGTAAAGTGTCCCATGAGAGTTGATTGAATTGCAATCTGAATTGGACGATTAGTTGGTATAGGAGATGTAAACATGGTAGCGACTAGCCGTGAGTGGCACCTCAGAGGGCTGCCGACGATCGACTAGTCGCTGGCCTGTATAATTTATTTAAGGCACGCATTTTTTTTACAATATCCAATCCTTGTTCATTTAACTATTTCTACTTTCCTGCTTTTGTAATTAATAGTGAAAGCATTAAGAGTGTGATATGCAGAAATTTCGATATGACGCGGAACATTTAGAAATATCTTGAACTTGAAGTCATAGCCGATAGTTAACGACGGAAACTTCCCGTTAGCATTCTTATCAAGAATTATTTTGCTATAAATCAAATAGTTTTCTGCGAGATGTGTCAACGTCTCTTATTTACAGGTAAATCATTTGTTTGTAGATGTATCGAAACCAATCTATGAGCAGGAAGCTAACGACTAGCAGGTAGTGATCTATTGCTCGTGAGATATTTCACAGATATGAGTGTAAAATTAATCAATCGAGGGGCAGCAGTCCTACATTTTCCTGATCTTTTGAGCATGCATGATGAACAATGAATGTTACAGTTTCAACAATAAATATTATTTTGAAAAAATAAAGAATTAGTTAGAATCAAATGTTATTGTAGCATCAGTAGCATCGCATACATCGGCGAATTATTTGACAATAATTCCCAAGATGAATAGAAAGAGTTCAGTCGAGGGTCAAGCGAGTCGTAACGACGAGCGTTATCTTGTTCATATCGAGTTCTAAAATGATTGAACAATGATTTTATAATATTCGAATTGATCTTTTGTGCTTGAAAATTTAAATAAGTCTATGTAAAATACAAATAACACACTTCATTGTTTAGTTCACACTTGCATGACTTAAGTACAAGGTCATATGCCAAATGATAATATTCAAGGTGATGAACAACCAAAAATGATTCATGTCATAGACGTAGTTAATGATCTATTTACTGAAGAACCGCCAGCACATATAGAATGTGGTGATATTATTGAATTTAAAATAATAAAAAAAGATGAATATGATATATTTCAAGTATATAAAGATGGTGACGATTATTATCGAAAAGATCATGGCTATGAATTATTGAATATTAATACTCGTATAAGTATACGCTATAAATATCAGGGTGTAGGTAAAAAAGTGTAAACGGATGGGTATTTAGATAAAAGTGTACAATGGTAAGCATACATGTATAAGGATATAGAGTTAAGACGATAGGTATAACACTCTATGGGTTAGAGCATATATATAGGAATTTATTTGTAAGACTATAGAGATAAGGCTATAGCTATATGAGTATAGAGGTAAGGACATAGGTATAAGGGTGTTATAGCAAGGATATAGGCACAAGGCTCTAGAAGTAAAGATATAGTGATAAGGCTATAGATATGAGACTATAGGAGTAAGGGTAGGATAAACGGATAGAAGCAGAGTTCTGCAGCAAAAAAATGCGCTGTATACTAATAAAACGTATCATGAAAAATTCGTCACAGATATGTATGAAGCGATCGAGCTTTATCAATCATGTCAGTCTTTCATCTTTCTATTTATTGTCTTGAACAAAATAGAATTTTCATTCTTTAATTTTTCTGTTTAGGTCAGTAGTAGAAAAAGAAGAAGCAAATAATATTAGTTAGGTATTATTTAATAAGTTTTGATGATATATATGGTGCTTTATAAGCTTCCAATCCATTTCAATTTTTTATATTTTTCTGGTATCTAAAGTTGGACAACGAATGAGAATATATATTTAAAAAATTAACATCTATATTATTATCCAAAACCTATCAAAATCATCTGCCATCATTAATAAGAAAGTGCTTTATTGAGAATCATCTTAAAATAATTTTATCAGATCGTGTTTTTATTCTTTTACATCACATCTTTTAACTTATCTATATAAAAACTCACGTCCAATTTGAGTTTATCATTCGACTATATAAAATACAAATGTTAAATTATTTTAATATTTAATAAATATTTTCCAATAATGCACCTATTATTGATGGAAGTAGTTTAGTGAATCAAATTTGAATATTTGCTCAGATGTAGTCGTCACAATGTATCCTCAATGTTTGTTTAGTTTGGAATATTCGAAATGTTCAAAAATAGCCAAAATGAACTGGAAGCTTATCGGTCATTTTTATATATGTTACTTTCACGCAATGTCTTGTGATCCGATAAGATTTTTGTAGTTAGAATAGTTTTTATCATACAGTTTCGCTTGTTACTGGACTTTTTGGTTTCTTAATCGAGTAAATTGTTAGAGAAAATAACTCTATCCATAGGCTTAGTTTGCATAAAAATAGTTCAGACGAGTTCTTAGTTATTACAATTTTTATCGCCTTGTAACAATGACTTATGACTTTGATTTTCTACGGTAAGAATTTCTATTTGATAGTGATTCTTGCCGTAGAAAATTAAAGGTCATAAGTGATTGTTACACGATAATAAAAAATTGTAATAACTAAGAACCCGTCTGAACTATTTTTTATGCAAACTAAGTCTATGGATAGAGCTATTTTCTCGAACAATTTACTCAGTTCAGAAGTCAAACGTATAAAAACACGTTAAACTTCTTGAGAGAAATCGAAATCGCAAAACTGTTCATATTTGCGACTTTATTTTCGTTGTTTATCTGACTGGGTCTTGTCCACATTCAATTCAGATAATGATTTCCCATCCAACTCCTGTACTAATAGCTTTCGAAAAGAAACGTATTTTTGAACTTAATCGTGCAATTTTGTATATGTGAAGGTCCTAATGAGACTATTTCCTATACAAAATTTCATTAATTTTGAATATTGAGATGTCAGGATGTGAATTTTTCAAAATGAATGTCTATATTTGTCAGAACACTTGAAAAGGTATGTCTTTTGAGAAATTCATATTCTGACATCGCAATATTCAAAATTAATGAAATTTTGTATAGGAAATAATCTCATTAAGACCTTCACGTATACAAAATTGGGTGGGTATGGGGTGTGAGTGTGGGTAGGGATGTGCAGTTTCAGTATACTGATCACCGATAAAGTCACACTGGCGTTCACCGGTACACTGATGACACTGACACTGCCTGCTTCGGTTGCAGTGCCTGCACCGACATGGTGTTCACTGAATCAGTGCATACACCGACATGGTGTT